GATGAAAAGGAAGACATTATCCTTATTAAATTTGGATACACGCCAGTGACAATTGAAGGGTAGTCATAGTTTAGAGCATGCTCTCTAGGGAACTATGACTACTTTTTTTTTACATTTTGTATTCTAATCATATCTCAAATCAATAAGCATTTCCTATAAAAAAAATACTCTACAACAATTGTAATATAATTGTAATACTTTCCACTTTTATAAACTGCAATGAAAATATATAGATATGTATAATATATCTCATATATTATTATATATCTAGGGGATCCGGCCACGCGTTTTATACTATTCAATACAGTCAACATTTTATTTACGAATAATTTCATTGTATATAATAACCAGTTTATGGCTGCTTAATAGATTGTACTTTATACACATCAACACTGTCCATGGTTAATGGAGGTGTCCGCTTAATAAAGCTTAATTTAAAATAGCTTTTACGGTTTTCTTTATTCATGAATTATCTTAACTATCCTATCTTTTAAGTTGGCACGAACTGGACACAGTGTGCTAAATTTTACTAAACTCGGTTCAGTGGTTCAGGAGTCCGTCGCGAACAAACAACGTGATACGCACTTTTTATATATAAAGATTTATATTAATTACATAATAAGAAATTGTTAATCAATAGAAACATCAAAAACTTTAAAATTAAAAAACATAATTATATGTAGCCTGCGCCACTCTCGATGACTTGTCATAAAAACAGGTTGTAAGGAATAATAGGTCGCTATTAATTCGTTTTTACTAGTCATGAATATTTGAAATAATAAACCTTTGAGAGTGTCTAAGCTATAAGCATAGCTTTTCTGTATAACAAGTGCTGGTTTTGAAATTTTGAATACTAAGAGATAACCATAAGCATTTGGAATAATACAAAAACATTATTAAGACAACTCAATAAGATATAAAGATCATATCTTTACAATTTAGTTAGCTGAATTTATTAGAGGCCAAATTATTCAACATTTTATCAAATGATTTATGGAATTATATTTATAACCATGAGTTAACAATTCTATAATTTTTGTTCATACATTGAAAAACAAAAACTTTAATAACCTTTATTCCTTTCTTTTTACCTAAGAGAGAGGTCACAAGGTAACATAATATTAGGTTGTCAAAAAAGTCTTGCGGTATTTTCGCTAGTTGGCGCTGAGAGCGCGTAGTTCTAGTTTTATTCATCGCATCGGGTCCTGCTATACTTTTTTAAAAGCTCATTTCACGCGCTAACACGTGTTTGATTGATTGTCGTTTCTTTTAAGTCTTTCGTGAGTTATAGCGTCGCAAACATGGAGCAAAATAAAGAGAAAATACGGCATATTTTACAGTACTACTACGATAAAGGNCCGTAGCATCGGTCAAGAGCTGGTCATGAGTCATCAAAAAAATGTTATGAACAATTGAAAATTGAAAAAAAAAATTCAATAAAAATACCGCAAGACTCCTTTGACAACCTAATATAAATTATGTGTATTATTCCAAAAGAATTACAAATATTATCCGAAATCCGAAAGGCAGCATATGCCCTATAGTTGACAGATGGAATTTTGTAATTATTAGGTTGTCAAATATCTCCCTTCCCCTTTTTTGCTCTTTATGCTCTATAAAAAGTGTTAAAGTGATCGGATGTACTTCAAATAAGCGCCGTTTCGTTCAATAATCTATTCCCATCTTGACTTCTTCTTGATTGGCGTAGACACCGCTTACGCGATTATAGCCGAGTTAACAACAGCGCGCCAGTCGTTTCTTCTTTTCGCTACGTGGCGCCAAATCCAACGCAGGATAACTCTTCCCAACAGGTGCTACTTCAGACTGAGTATGCAATTGAGAAGCAAAGTCCTCTCTCGACAAACAAAAACCAAACTCTATAAGTCACTCTTAATTCCCGTCCTGCTATATGGTGCAGAGGCTTGGACGATGTCAACAACAGATGAGTCGACGCTGCGAGTTTTCGAGAGAAAAGTTCTGCGAAAGATTTATGGTCCTTTGCGCATTGGCCACGGCGAATATCGCATTCGATGGAACGATGAGCTGTACGAGATATACGACGACATTGACATAATTCAGCGAATTAAAAGACAGCGGCTACGCTGGCTAGGTCTTGTTGTCCGGATGGGCCCAACTTGACTGCAACTTCATTATACCCCCTCGCAGAAACCCCTCTCCTTATTTGCGAAGAACTCGGACAGCCACTTTTCACAAGCCTCTTTTGAGTTCAACTTCGAAGGAATTCGGAATGAACTAGACCTCGATAATCGAAGAAAACTAGCAAACTTAACATTAATTTTTCACCTGCTTTGACGTGGTTTTTTCGGCTTCGGCTCACCTTTGCCACTATATTGCGGTAGCTGATTTCATGACGTTAACGCGATGCTGTTTTTCGAATCGAAAAAATGTAGTGATTTTGAAAGCAATCATGTTTTCAATTTTCTTATGGTCAAATGATTTTTCAAACTAGCTTTTACTGAACCTTCCGGTACTCCAACTATGCCAGTAAGAACTCTGACTGTTAATTGTCGATTGTCAAGCACCAATTCTTTTATTTTATTGACATGTTGATCATCAGTTGATGTTAATGGCCGTCCTGGATGTAGTTCGTCGTCAGAGCGTTTTCGATCTTCTTTGAATAATTTATACCAATCCTAAACCCTTGCTTGCGACAAACAACTATCTCCGAAGGCCTTTCTAACATTGTGAACGTTTCGGTGTATGTCATTACGAATAAAATATGGGAAATAAATTTAATTTAATGAATACTTTTATCTTAACTCGAAAAAAATTGTTGCCTTAAAATAATTAATTAATGTTATTTCCAAAAGTCAACTACAATTTCCAGTCGAAGAATTAATTTAATTTCAAACTTAACGTTTTTATGCAACATCTGCATTCTGTTTTATTAGCAATCTTTTATGGTGCAACTATAAATCTTTCTGTTAAGCACATTGTATATTGGTTACTCAATTTTTTTTTTTTTTTTGGGAAATTAAGAAAATAACTAGATTTTCGTGATTTTTAAACAAGAAGTAGTAAATATATAATAACAAAAATCATACACGCTTTCTTGTATCCGTGTTTAATTTTAATTGCTTTTTGTTTTATTTAGCTTGTGCTTATATAATGTACAGTGTGGTTGAATTAATTTTATGCTTAGTGTTGGTGAATTGCAATCCGGCGGAAACGCCAAAATTGTATATAAATATAAAGAAATAGGCATTTTTATCTTCTAAACGCTTAATAGGTTTTACATGTGGCTTAACACTTTTAGGAACTTACGTTTGTCAGCACATCACTAATAGGTGAGGACGTGAAGGACGTCCAAAAAGCGCAACAACACCAGAAATCATAGCCAAAAAGCAGGATATGGTTTTGGTAGATCGTCGATTGAATGAGAAAAATTTAGTAAAGCCTCTGCGCATTTCAATAGGCTGTGTGAGCCATATTTTAAGTGAAATTTTGGGTTTTAGAAAGCTGTGTACACAATAAATGCCACATTCACAAAGTGGAATTTGTGCGTCGATTCATCACTACGAAAGATATTTGGGGCTATCACCATGATCCCGAATCAAAACAAGATGATACAGAGTAATATGAACCTGGTTGTTCGGCTGCGAAACGAGTTCGTGTCCAAAAATCGGCCAAGAAGGTTATGGCATCAGTGTTTTGGCATGCGAAAGGAATTTTGTTTGTGGATTACTTGCAAACTGGTAAAACAATTAATTATGGATATTATTGCAACCTTTTGGACCAGTTGAAGGAAAAATTCGTAAAAAAAACGCGGTTTGCAGAAAAAAAACTTTTTTCAGCAGAACAATGGCTAAAATCCATGAATTTAATTTCGAATTTTTGGAGTATCCACCGTATTCACCAGATTTGGACCCCAGCGACTTCCATTGGTTTCCAGAACTCAGAAAATGTATGCGAAGCAAGCGTTTTCATCAAATGAAGAGGTCAGTCATAACGGCCGTTGAAGCGTATTTTGCAGACCTTCCCGATTCTCACTTCAGGAATGAGATCCACAGATTGGAGGATCGTTGGAGCAAGTGCATTAATGTTCAGGGAGATTATACAGAATAATAAAGTGTATTTTTAAATACAAAATTGTGTTTCTCTTATCAAACGGCAAAACTTATTGAACAACCTGGTAAGTTAGAACTAAAAACCGGCAATAAAGTTGGCGAAAACTGGGTTAACGCTAACTAGTTATGTGAAGTCAATAATAAAATTATGCTCTATAAATAATTGTAATATCCGGCCTCTTAGCGCTGCAGGTTATCACTAGCTACCTATAGCACACTATGTTAGAAACATGAATCACTATAAAAAAAGCGTCCCATTTTCTTGTGCCTTAAATAAGCGTTTAAGCACCAAAGTAAGCTATATTTATTTGAGATGTACTTAAAGTCACTTTTCATATTTACGTCGCCCACATTTCTGTTTGATGGCTCATAAACTGCACTGCCCGCAGCGCCTATGATTTTGCAAAGCTTCGCACAGATCGCCACAAAAGAAGCAACAAATGTGCTATTCTAAAATTTATTTACCCTTTGCATTAGCTACAATGCGCTAAGCTCTAGCATACGATGTATAGCAATAACCGTTAGTCTGTCTGAGCGTCTCTCATGAAAAATATAGTTTAAATGTCAGACTACAAAATTTTATGGCAAAATTCCCATGGCTTTATTATTATTTCAGTGCAATACTTGGCAGATGTAAAATGCAAAAATCAGAAGGAAAATGCACAAGCGAAACGAAAAAATGCCGTTGACAGATTTCCAACACACGTGCAAAGTTACAAGCTGCAGTTTTAGCTGTGGAGCTGGAGCAGAGACGTGCTTAAGCGCAGGCACAGTTTGCACGACCTTATATACATATACATATGTACCCATGAACACGTATGTTGAAGCAGTTAAATGGCAGAACACTTATATATGCAATTTATACTACATATATTGATACAAAAAATTCAACAGAACCGGAAACTGGCTTACCTTGAAGAAGATGCCGAGGTAGTAACGCTTCTCGCCCAGTTTGAGCAACGGCATTGTCCATTTGTTATTGTATTGAGACTCGTCCACACAGTTCGGACAATCTGCGATGGCAGCAACAACAGCAACAGCAACAGCAGCAGCATTAATGTCAGCAACAGTAGTGATCCACCAAATTAAGTCGCACCAATACACCAGCATACATGGTGATGTGTGAATGGGCGCGCAAGTGTGCAAATCACAAAGGCAATGCAAATAGAGAAGAGAAGAGAAGAGAGATTAATTAATTACAATGGTTTTTAAAGCTGAACTGGACAGCTGCTTATACAATAAAATAAAATGCCGAAGCAGATGATAAATAAGTAGAAGAAGAATAATAAGAAGATGAAGAAGACAAAGAGAAACTCACCAAAAGGGTGTTAAATTTAATTGCAATGACGCTTTAACGATTTTACATTCATATATACATATTAATTTAGTTGATTTTATGACGCTGAACTTAATACATAGGCATTCAGTTTTAAAGGTCGTATTTTTAGGCATTTTGTTATCGTATTTCAGGCCGGCAGCGAGATCACGCGCAAATTACAATTTATATGCTGCAGTAAAAATATGTTTGGCTTGAGTGTGGATGGATAAATTATTCCGCAAATAACTTGATAATTATTAAATAAAAAAAGACAAAATTCAACTTCAACTGCACGAAAAAAAAACAAAAGATTTCTTACAAGCGCTTGATTTTGATTGGTCAGTTTGTATAGTAGCTATATGTTATAGTGACTCGATATGAACAATTTTTCATAGATTGCAGTGTTGCTTTGGACAATAATTTATGCCAAATTTGGCGAAAATATCTCGTCAAATTAAAAAGTTTAGCATTCGTGGACTTGTTTCTGAATTTTCAGTTTGTATGACAGCCACTTATATGCTGTAGTGGTCAGCTTCTTGAGGAGAAAAGTTCGTATGCAAAATTTCAGATCGATTAATATAGCAAAAATTGAGAGACTAGTAACTATATACAGACAGACAGAGTTAGCTAAATTGACTCAGCTCATCGTGCTGATCATTTGTATGCATATATATTTTATAGGATATTCTATGTTTCCTGCTGGGAGTTTCGAGCTAAGTAGTAGGTAGAGTGGCTATCGGACAACGCACCTAGACATTTAGAGGCCCTTTGTGATACCACCGGGGCTAAAATCTCTTCACTCTACTGTCTCTTTTTAAAACCATCCCGTGTTTCAGATGATGTTCATCAGTACAACTTTTATTCTGCGATTGCGATTATTTTTCTGTACAAAGCCTTGCATTCGCATAGAAGATGTTTTATAGTCTGCTCTTCTTACACCTTCTAACAGCTTCTACAATAGTCATTATAAGGTCTTCCTAGTCTACTATCATGTCAGCCAAAGACAGACAAAGACTTATTATAAACTTCGCAGCAAACTAACCTAAACCTGGCGAAACTGTTAATATTAATCGCACAGACAACAAATTGTAATATAGCTTGAATCATACATTGATCGAAAGTCAACGAGAATGGTCCAAAAGACACAACAAAGTGTTATACGACAATGCACCTGAAGGCAAAGCAAAATCGGTCCTGTATCAAAGTTCTTGGCTGGAAATTGCTAATCCACCCGCCGCATTTACCAGCCTTGGCCCTTCTGATTACTATTCCTTTTTATCGATTGAACACCAATTAGCTGAGCACCATTTCGATTCCTACGCAGAAGTCGAGAATTGAGTGTTTGATTGGACACACATTTTATTGACATGGTATCTACAAATTGCCAGAAAGGTGGTCAAAATATCGAAAAAGCAACTGCCACTACTTTTAATAATTTTTTTTTTTTACTTTTCCATTCGCAACTAGTATTCCATTTTCACAAAAAAAAAAAAAAAAAAAAAAACACACACTTTTTTTATACCGATACACTTCCCCTCCTTCCAACCCCTCATCACATCATTAATTGGCAAGTAGTTTAGTTAAGTTGCTTCAAGTTTAAACTCGCAAGAGTGAGTCAGTATAGAAGAATTCCTAACATTAGTTGCTTTCGATTCGACAAGCGTTACTCTCCAGCGAATCGAACCAAATATTATATAGCAGATGCTCAAGCAAACGGGCAACACGGATAGTGCAAACAAGCGTTAACATGATTTCTGACCTATTATATGCGAAATGGTGGACTCTTTCTTAGTGGATAAATTCATGTTTTCAAGTTAATAAACAATGCTGTAACTCTTTTTTATACTCTCGCAACAATGTTGCTAAAGAGAGTATTATAGTTTTGTTCACATAACGGTTGTTTGT